AATCTGATACATACAATGAATAGCAACCTACGCTGCATTGCCTCAAGGAATGGGAGTTTTCACCCAGATTACATTTGTCATAGAAGAAAATAGTTGTTTGGCCTCATTGGCAGTAGCTTTCTTTGACTGACCTAGATTGTGTTTCTTTTAGCATTCCCCTCCAGCACTGTTCCCTTTTCCTCTGGAGGCACAGGACACAAATTGAAGTTGTAATTTGAATTCTTTGCTCCCTTTTTTATATTAACATCTTCATTTTTTGGCTATGAACCCAAACCTTTATAAACTTTACTTAAATTTTCAAAACATCTTCCCATAGGAATGTGTATGAAACCACAACACATTAATACAGTTCACATGTACTGTCACCTCAGTGTGCTGTTGCAGTTCACATGTACTGTCACCTCAGTGTGCTGTTGCAGTTCACATATACTGTCACCTCAGTGTGCTGCTGCAGTTCACATATACTGTCACCTCTGTGTGCTGCTGCAGTTCACATATACTGTCACCTCAGTGTGCTGCTGCAGTTCACATATACTGTCACCTTTGTCATACTCCACCTACTTTTTCCTAGCTACGCCAACTTAGCAACAGGCAAATCAGGCTTTCCACAATTCCTGCAGGTGTATGGGTGTGACCTCTAGTGCTTGAACGCTGGCTTATAAAACACTGTGTTGAGAAAATAGACAGTTCTGTTAGGCTCAAAGTATTTCTTCCCAAACATCATGGAGAGAGGGTTGGGTGTTAGATGAATGCAGCTGTCTGGGCCTGTCACAATCCTGAATCTCCCTAGACTGGCGTGAGAAGATTGACAAACTCAAAAGTAGTCAACGTCCTCTGTGTCCCTATAAAGACTCCGCCAACAACAGTTTTCACACTTAGTCATTCTCAGCTCTGTGCATAACTCATGCTGTCGGTTCGCTAACAAAATGGTCGGTATTAATGGAATGAATAACAATATAGGAGAAGCAGTTCTTATGGAACTTGTTTGCTTGGTAAAGACCAGTGATGTACAGTTAAGGCACTAATTACCCTCTGCTAGAAGACACACACTTTTTAATATTTACATTACATTTTATTATCTTTTCCCAATGATTTTGGTTGACAGTAAAAATGTAATGTCAATAATAATACAGCAGATATCACATTGTTACAAAATGATAATAGACACAATAGAAACAAAGATTTGAAAACATTGGTTGCTATTTGGTAAACATATATTGGTTGCGTAGATGTGCTTGTTTTAATCCCAAAGAAGGAAACAGGTAAACACCAGTAACCAACAGCTAGTAATTTACTTTTTGAAAAAGAAACTTCTTAAGTACATTCTCTGACATCTGTTGTGGAATGTAACTATGATTCTCGGAATAATGTGTAAACAACTCAAACGTAAGCATTACCTAAAGTAATGACATTCCACGTCACTGTGTGAGCCGGGTCTTTATCAAGAATGTACTCTTTTTCAGAATGACATCTTGATTTGTATGAGCTGAATAATGAATGATAATAACTCCCCGCCATTAAGACATAATGTAGACTCATGAATCTTCTCATGTCATAGAAACAAAACACAGCAGATTGTGGCCTTCATTGGCAGCATCTGAACATTACAGACCATCGCAATGTCTGCTTTGTCTGCTGGGTTTCTGTATTTCTTACCACGTATGACAGCCAGCTTTAAATCTGTGCGTCTGCTGAGAGGCTAAAGGCGACGAAAAAAAGTGAGGTATTTTGAGCATGGATGAGCTAGTGGCCCAGTTGTTCCTGTATTTAGTCACCTGGGATCATACATGGCCCATATCACACTTACGCCTTTTTCCCTTGTGGCTGAACTAGGATGAGGCCTGAAACAGTTTATGAGGAGAAATGGTTGGCCTCAAAACTAAAAAGGGATGCTTGCCTCTCTTTATGTCTCCAGTTGTTGACAACTGTTGTTGTTTATTCGTTAATTAGTTTTTTGCACTCAAAGATATGGACGGATATGTAATCTGAAATTAAATGTACATTTAGAGTGCAACTGCATCGTGGGAAAAAAACGATATTTTTTGGGGGCGAAATATTATGTCGTAAAAATGTGTTGCAAATACAAATGCATGTCATGCATTCAGAACATTTATAAATGCATCATCAATAAATTATTTGGTACATGTTTTATTCAGTGCCTTCAGGGATATTTTCTGCCCACTTCACTTACTCTTCATTGTGTTGTTATAGATTTAATTCTTAATGAATTAATTGTATTTTGTTGGCCATTAATCTTCACACAATACCATAATGAAAGAATCTATGTTTTTGAAATATTTGCATAAATCTCAAGCATGTCTTCAAACCCGTTACCGGGACATGTCAAACTGAGCACAGCTGCATCCTGTCTGGCTTGACCATACCTCAGATGTCTGATTCCAATTTGATTGGAGTCTATCGGTGGCATATTAAACAGATTGGACATGACAAACAAATCTATACATGTCATTATAAGGTCTTACACTTTTGTATACAAAGTCAGGGAACAAACTGTGAAAAACAAGGAACCCCCCGTCAACCACTGAGGTAGAATTGTGTCATGGCATAGGAGGTAATGAAAGATGTGTCCTTTACATGAGCTAAGTAAAAAGAAGAACTTTGTAACCATCGAAAATCTTTGCTAGCAATTTCTTTCCGGCCAAACTAAGTAATAGTGCAAGAAGAGCCTTGAACCCAACAACCAATCTAATAGAGCGTAAATATTTTGCTGCCGAAATAGGAGAACCTGCTAGAAGGAAAACCATCTGCAGCACTCCATTAATCAAGCCTTTATGATGGAGTGGCTAGACGGAAGCCACTCCTGAGAAAAATCTAAATTACATACTGTTTGAAGGACTATTAGAAGCATGAGGAGAATTCATGATCTGGTCAGATGAACCCAGATGAAATATCAGCCTGAATGCCAAACACATCTGCAGAAAACAAGGTGCCACTCCTCACCTGGCTAATACAAAGCCTGTGGTGATGCCTGGTGCTGGGAGAATCATGCTATACAGATGCTTCTTAGAGGCAGGTTCTGGAAGACTGTTCAGGATTGAGGAAATGATGAACAGAACAAAATACAGAGGTCCTAGAAGAAGACTTCATCCTGAGTGAATAGGAGCTCTGCCTGGGCAGGATTTGTCTTTCAGCACAGCAACGACCTGAAAAACACAGCCAAGACAGCGCTGGAGTGGCTTTGGGACAAGTCTACGAATGTCCTTGAATGTCCCAAAGCCTCGACTGAATGCCTTTGAACTTATTTGTGGAGACCTGAAGATCACAGTTTGCAGAGGATCACCATCCAATTTCTTTAAAAGAAATCATCTGAGAAAATTTTTCAATAAAATGGCACACATTTGTTTTAAAATATATATTTCTTGCTTTATCATTTAATTGTATTGGGTGTAAATTGATTGGGAATTACATTTGTGTCAATTAATCGCTATATGCCAACTGAATACAGCAAAAGTAGGTCAAAGAGACAAAGATTGAAAAGTGTCCTTTGATGCAGATTCTGTGTAGCTTGAAAGTATGTGAACCTGCTTCTAGATCTTCTTGATGTTCACCAGGAAATCTTTATTTAATAAGAACATGTGTAAAATCAATTAGGTAAGTCGAATCAGGTGGATGGGTTTCAAATGGGTTTCAAATGAACCAATTTCTTAAATGGGGCTCAAATGAACCAATTAAAAAATAGATTATTAGGGAAGTGACTGAACTCTGATTGAAACAAGAATCCTGGACAATTTGAAGAGAGATCTCAGATGACACCAGTCCATCCTGACCTCCTCCATCACTGTCTGGTTCTATGCAGACAGTGTCAAGGATAAAGACAGACTGCAACGCATCATCTGCTCTGAGCAGCGCACCATTGGTTGAAGCTGCTGTCCCTCACAGAACTGATCAATTCCAGATCACTTAGGCGGGCAGCAAAGATTGAGGCAGACCCCGCCCATCTGGGAAATGGACTGAGGTCAATCCTCTTGCCACAGGAACAGCTTCTTCCCAACAGCAGTTGGTCTCCGGAATATGCCCCTAGCACTTGTATTTTTCTCTGTTTGCACATATACATTTTAAAATGTTTTTTTTATGTAGCAGCTAGGGGTCAGAACACATTCCTTTTATGTGTAAACAGACTTGGTGAAATACACCTGATTCGGATTCTTATTCAAAATTCGATTTGATTACAATTGTTATATAATTCCTACAAGATACTGATATCTGAGTCTTTAGATCCTCGTATAAATCAGGGTGACAACTGAAACTTGCCTCACTGCACAGGCCTTTAACACAATATAATGCCAATGTGTTTGATTTACATTAGATGTTATATCTGATACATTATGTTTTGTTTAGCTATTTAGTGAAAAGTTCATTCATATGTTTTCCAAGCTAGCCAACCCAATAGCTCGTGCATAAAAATCGTTCTGCTCTGGTCAATAATGCACATGAAAAAATGTAATATGCAATGCTTGTGTCATTGTGAACACCCAATCTGTTTATTCATGATGCGTAGTGTGTCTACCCGATACATGAAAGGCAATTTTGGGAGATAAAATAATATAAATCACGAGGAGAAAAACATTGATTGTCAATACCACAGGCCTTATGTCTGAATATACGCTCAGAGAGAAAGGCAAGCGTTGCTCATTTTATATTCATCATTGCAGTCATGTTGATGCCATCTTGGTAGTTTGTGGTGAAAGAGGAACATTCTGCCATGGAGTTGCAATCTGTTCTCTCACAGTGAGATACTAACAGCTATTTTCTCTGTGTCCGCGTCAATGCTTGGCACCCTTCTGAGGAAGATATTTTTACAGCCATGAAAAAGCCTACCACAATAGTCACTGTAGATGTTGGAGGGAACAAACAAATGACAAGCAGAACCTGTGTGAGGATATGGAGTCATTGCCTCAAAGATGTCAAAATACATTATTATTTTTATTTTCGCCAGGTGGGCCGATTGAGAGCAAATTCTTATTTCCAACGGCGACCTAGGGAGAAGCTGGGGATTGCACCCAGGACATCATAAACACAAAGCACGCAGGCTACCACTGAGCTACACCAACTACACCAATTGTTTTTTGCTGTTTGGAAATATATACACAAATGTCAGATTTATAAAGATGTAGAAATAATATGTATTCCTCATTATTTACTGTAATGATACCTGAGTAAGTTCCAACTGTTTATACTAGTATTTACATGCACAACCTAACACTCCAGATATCAGGTTGCTCGTTAACGGTAGTGGTATCCACAGATAATATCATCGTAGGGACCCCTGAGGAGTGCAATGGCTTAAAAAGATACAGCTGTTGTTGCAGACAAGAATTAAAATCCTGCAATTTGGGCCAGCCTGGGTTGGACGTTCGGGTAGTTGTTCTAGCGACTCATGGTTAGTCAGGTGCTTGCTAAATCTTAGTAGTTAACCTGGGAATGTCCTCGCTCCTCCAAGCAAATATTTCTACTTAAGTAAGCATTGATGAAAGCAAAACAATAAGGTACACAAATACTGTCATATATACGGTACTCACTTTTGTTACCAGCGGTTCAGACCTTAACGGCTGTGTGTTGAGTTATTTTGAGGGGACAGCAAATGTACACTGTTATACCAGCTGTACACTCACTAACTACTTTACATTGTAGCAGAGTGTCATTTCTTGAGTGTTGTCACAAGAAAAAATATTATTATAATAGTAATAATTACAAGCATGTGAGGGGTGTACTCACTTTTGTGAGATACTGTACATACATGTTTTAATAGTTTATGACACTCTGTTGCTAAAACCAACTGCATGTATTCAAATCCCGAACACACCAAGGATAAAATCGGGTATAATATATTTCTTTAGTTGATGCAACACAACTGTATTTGAGAACGAGACAAAGCTGGACTCCTTTTAGTCCTGTGCATCTCCCCAAAATAACCCAGCTCATGTTCTCTGGCCAGACTCGTGCATCAATCAGCCACAGCGGCACATGCACTCTGAAGCAGCCCTGGTCCGAAATAGAATAACACGAGAACTGGCAAGCTATATGCAAATGGGAATGGTACATACAGCTTTAGTGTCATAATTCGAGCAGATGCTCATTATGCAAGACAATAGTCACTTAATACAGATCTTTTGATCTTTTTCACTGTGGATCATGCAGGAATCTGACTTTGAAATACAAATTCCGTGTACATACATATAGTTATCAATAAAATCAATGCTGTGTTATTTTGACTGTATGAGTAATGTTACACTCGCACAAACGCTGGTAATAGATCAGTGACGCAAATGTAAGGTATGTTAGTGGTTTGTTTCATTTGTATTCATATGTGTATATATGTACTTGTTCCGACTGCAGACCCACTTCACGGCAGTAACCACCTGTTGACTCTCCTGTGGGGAAATTACACTGTGCTGGGGTCACGGAAGACACCCATGTGCGTAGCGAAGAAATGTCACACGTTGGGCCTGCTCTCTACGATGGCTTATTTAAAGCTCTGTCTGGCAACAGGAAGGCACTAAAAGATTATTTCAACTCACTCACTCACACTGACGCTCCCTCAGACATTAACACGAAACATACAAGCACAGTCAAGCAGGAGCCATGACGAGTACTGCCCAGGATGAGAGACCCTTTGTCAGGGCAGTGCGGAAGATCAAATGTGCCGCCATGGTCCACAGTCTCGCCAAAAGCTGGCAGGGTTGGGCCACTGAGAACTCAGTCAAACAGGAGACAATACCCTCAGGATGGATGCCCACCTCCGTTTCCGAGGAGGTGGAGAAGGCAAAGCAGAACAAGCCAAAAATCCTAGTGAGGACACGTGTGGTTGAGGCAGACGCTGACTGCGGCAGCCTGATCCAGACAGGTGGCGTGATCAAAAGCCACCTGCCAAAACGCAGCGAGTATAGCAGTGACCTGGTGAGCTCCATCAAAGACAAAATCCAGATGGTGCCCGAGGAAGGTTACAAGCCGTGTTTGGGCAACGAGTCGCCCACCCGGAGACGTCTGGCGGTGAGAGCTCACGTCCACCTGGCTAGTCAGGAGTGTAAGACGGGCTCCCGTAGCAACAGCCTGGACATAGAGGACAGTGGGCTGGAGGAGGAGGCCATAACCTGTGATAACAGTGACCAGAGCAACCTGGGCCAGCAGAAGAAACAGACAAACAGACCTAAGGTACAGCAGGCCGGGAACACATTGTAAATTATCTATACTCCAATACTGTTGTGTCAGGGATATGACCACGGTTTTGAGTGTCAGCGAAGGCGATGGTGCATGGGTTGAATGTTGTACTAATGGTCAAGTAAATTATATAATAGAAAATATCCATAATTACAGGTGGCACATAAGATTATCTGTGAGTTTTCATAATGAACTACAGGGAATCTTCAATAGATGGAAAATAAATACAGATTATGGTACAATCAATACAATCATGATATTATCAAGTATGAATGAACTATATCAACAGCAGTGATGCTGTGGTAAAGAAATGGATACTTGGTAGTATGCATCAGTGGTTATTACCTTCATTCAAATGGATACTTGGTAGTATGCATCAGTGGTTATTACCTTCATTCAAATGGATACTTGGTAGTATGCATCAGTGGTTATTACCTTCATTCAAATGGATACTTGGTAGTATGCATCAGTGGTTATTACCTTCATTCAAATGGATACTTGGTAGTATGCATCAGTGGTTATTACCTTCATTCAAATGGATACTTGGTAGTATGCATCAGTGGTTATTACCTTCATTCAAATGGATACTTGGTAGTATGCATCAGTGGTTATTACCTTCATTCAAATGGATACTTGGTAGTATGCATCAGTGGTTATTACCTTCATTCAAATGGATACTTGGTAGTATGCATCAGTGGTTATTACCTTCATTCCTCACTAGAGTATAAATGAAAGACATATGACATCTTAACAATATATTTTTGGTATTTTTTTATGGGAAAATGTATCCTGTAACATGTTTTTTTAGTTACCTATGTATTCAATGATTCGTAAATCTTTTCCCAACTTTTAGTATCACTGTGTGTACCTTTCTCTCAGTATTCTTACTTTGTCCTCTGTTTCTTCCTGCACACTGCAGAAATGTTTGTTAAAAGACAGTCATCTTAATGAGGAAAAGATTTAGGAATCAGAGTCGGATAAGTTGCTTGTAATAAGAACTCTTTATAAGCTTTGAAATCAAATTTAGATAACTTTTTCTACTGCAACATTCATTTTCCATTGCAATATGGGGAAACAATTTAACAATTTCCAAACATGAAATATTGTATTAAATACCCTTCTGGTTTGGTGTAAATATAGGTAGTCAACATAGCTGATTCTGATCGCACAAGAGAAGAGTTTATAGCTACTGGCTAACGTTATACAGCTCATGCTTACTTTTGCTTACTTGTGCAAATGCTTACTTGTGCAAATGCTTACTTGTGCAAAATCTTACTTGTGCAAATTGGTATTTGTGCAAATGTTTACTTGTGCAAATGCAAAGCTCAATGGATCGTTCTTATGACGTTCAAATCTGAAGATACACAAATCTGTATATACATTTTCGGAAAAGCTCACCGCCAACATGAGCAAACATTCACAAAGGCTGTGAGAAAGTTTGCCAACTGGAACACTTTATCTTTGCTTTTCTGTTTTGTGACATTAGCTCATGATATCATGATAGCATGAAAGCTCTATGCAAGTCAGATAAACAGCCTGTTTATCATAGTTTATAGCAGAAAATAAATCCTTAAGCAATAAAAAATGTATCTTGAAATGTAACATGGATGGTTAGGTACTAAAAAAGCCTACATGTCGTCCACTGAACATTCAGAGTTAATTATAACGTCCTTATGTATAAGGTCGGAAGCAAGATTTATAATGGTGTTACTAATTTGGCTCTAGACGTGTAGAGCTTGTGTCTCAGGTTTCATAACATGCATTACCCCAGTTTAAATGACTGCCATGGACCTCTTAGGAAATGCCAACGCAAAGAATTATTACACTGTTATTTTTAAAGAAGATTGGGTATTAATCACCGCAATCTTCTAATACAATGAATTTTCCTAGGCAAAAAAGTAATGGGGATTCACTATTGAGCAATAAATGGAGTTTCTCTGTTAATCTTATTTTGCAATACTAATAATGATTATTATTATCATTTTCATTTTGTTGCCAGATCAATGAAAATATTGCTATATATAATCTCTAAATTGTGTTTATTGTGGTGTAGTCTAATCTGATGCTGAATTCTATTCTGCAGATTACAGTTACCACCATAAGTGACATCAAGAGCAGGTGGCAGCAGTGGTCAAAACAGCATGTGGAGAGCCAGAAGCTCAACCCCTTTAGTGCAGAGTTCGACTACGATCATGCCATCGCCCAAAGGCTACAGAAGGGCGATGAAGGCTACGGACGCCCCAAAGACGGTACCAAGACAGCAATGCGCGGTGAACGAGCCCATAAGCATATCCACAAAGAGATGGAGGAGTTATGCTGGATCATTAGGGACTTGGGTTACAAGGACAAGAATGGCAAATTCTACATTACCTTCGGTAGGCTGTTTGACCGCTATGTTAAAATCTCAGACAAAGTGGTGGGCATCGTTTTGCGCTGCCGCAAACACAAGATGCTTGACTTTGAGGGAGAGATGCTGTGGAAAGGCCAGGACGACCATGTCATTATTACTTTGAGAGATGACAAAGAGGACTAATGTTCTTTAGATTTGACCTACATTTCCTCTTTCACACATGTATTTCATGTTTTGCACGGCAACAAATAAGTAGCAGACAGTTTTTGTTTAATAATCAAAATGTCCTTGAGATCATGAGAACAACGCGAGAGTCATTGGGCTTGAAAAAACACCAAAATAATGAATGCTAACTTTACTAAACATTGGAAAAGCTGTGCTTTTACATATCATAGTTGTCTTCAGAAAACAAACACTTTGATCAAAATGATATACTGTGAAAGTTGCAAATACATATTACTGTTATTTAGGATTTTATAGGATTTAACCGTACTTATCTCATGATTTCAAGCAGAACAGACACATAGTCAATCCCCACTAGAT